CTTTGGTTGTATTTCTGAAATGCAATAATCTCACCTAAAATATGAAGATATTTTCTCTCCTAAGGAAGTCTGAGATAAAGGCTTTTTGGGTTTTGGAGGTTCTGCTGTGAGGAATGTAAAGCTTTGAAAATTCCATCAAAATATTGATTAACCATTGTTCACATTTGCTTCTACAACTAAAGATCACATTGAGGGCTGGTATAAGGTATGAATATTTTATGTGAAAGAATCAAATCCTTCATTTTAAAAGTATTAACCTTCTTGATCTATGAAAATTAGCATCTTTAAAATAATTTTTTATATTATAAATGCAATATCCTTTATTAATTTGTTTCATTATTTTCATATGAGGATAAAAATTACAGTATTTACTTAATGACAAATATGTTTGATTCATGTGTGGGAGATTCTGTGAACACATAGCTAAACTTTAAATCAGCACTGAGAAATCCATTTAGACTATTCAAGGGACCTGTAAGGCAAAAACAAAAAAAATGCCTGTAATAAAATATTATGAGACAAAGACCTCCAAAGCTGACATTGAGTTTGCTTTGTGTTGGCCATCTACTGCTGGACATGGTGCCTCTCCTAAAGAGTGGCTTGTATCCTAGTGAGACTCCGCTGGAGAGAACTAATCTCATTTGTGAGTGGTTATCAATTGGACATAGCTTCTGGGTTAGGGATGGGGCCATGTGTCCACTTCTCTTCTCAGCCCTGGGACCTATCTGGCACAGATTTGTGCAGGTCATATGTATAGCAAATACATTTACCAAAAACAAAATTCTAATCAATGACAGTGGTATTCTGGTGGAAGAAAGCAGAATATATTGTGAGTAGGTTTTTTAAAAAAATTTTTTTTATATAAGTTGAAGCATGTTAGTTGGGGTTAGTATTCTTTTTTATTATTAAGTAAATATCATAATCATACTTAATTTTCCATCCATGATACTCAACTCTATCTCTATATTAGAAGCACACAAGGCAGTTTTGGAAAGGCATTATCTTCAATGTGGGCACATAAATATTTGTATTTTAAAAATTATTTTCACTGACTTATGTGTATTACTGATATTTTTAATTAGATAGACAACAGTTATAAGTTAATGTATAAATATATATGTATAGTTTAAATTAAATTTTCCCATTTGGCATATCAATGTTTCTCTCAAGAGCAATAGACCACCTAATTAAACCTCAAAAGGAGGCTTAAGAAGCCCTCTTTTGAGTTGTTGATCAGGGTTGTACAAGAGAATCCCAAAACATTATAGGCAATTGCCATTGCTTTTAGTTGATGCACGCCCCCACCCCATGTGGGAAATAAGCTCCAGTTGCAGAAGACATTATGTGCTTCAGACACAGGGCCCAGAGGCTCCTGATCTGGATTTGACCTGAAAGCCTTTCCCTGAGGATTAGCTTTCATGATGCCAAAAGGCACCACGCAAGCTTCTACAGGAGGGAAGCCACCGATTGTCCTACCCATCTCTGAAACCTATGAACAGCAACAGCTAGCATGGCACAATAATGCTGTTGTACTGTAGTGGCATATGTACCTTGGTGGTGACCAACAATTATCTAATTGGAGTTTTGACCCTCTCCACAGAAGGAAATCATGCCTGATACTAGGAAGGTAGCCAAATACACATGGCTAGTGAAGTCATAGATCTTGAATGAGAACCTATAACTAAAACTTTGCTAAACCAGCTTAGTCCCTAACTACATTCTAAATTTGTGTCCTTATACCCACAGAAAACTGTAGTCCTCACCCCTCATCAGGGAAGTTTTCTTTGCAACAGATGCAGACCATTATATAAAATCAAAATCAATCAAATAGCAAAGTTGTGGATTTATTTGTCCAACTAATAAACCTACAATACAACTTCTTCACCTAAGACTTTGGGGTCATTGTGGAAGAGGGGGCAGAACTTTTTTAAGAGTCTGAAGAACAGAGAGTTTGCTGTGAGGTTGTGTCTCCTAGAAATGTCAGAAACTACACTCATGAACTCTCTCCAACATGACAACACCAATATACATGCTAACATGGGCAGGGGGAAATTTGTGAGCCCTCTACTCTAGATAAAGGACTAGAGATGACTAAGGAATGCAGAGAGTGGATAATAGTCTTTCCCAGAGAAGAGCACACCAACTGGTTTTCCATTACCGAATGGTTAGCCATGAAAACATGTACACAGAAATAGCATTATACAGATTGAACAGGTTGTAATTATGTATTTAGTTATATATATATATATATATATACATACATACATACATATACATATGTACATAACAACTATTAATAAAAGAGGTCATGAGTTTAAAAGAAATCAGGAGGACACATGGAAGGGTTTGGAGGGAATAAAGGGAAGGAAGAAATTAAGTAATTATATTTTATCCTCCCAAATTAAAAAAAAAATTAAGAATGTTAACACTAACAATTTTTTTAACATTAGGGAGTACTTCTTAAATCACAAATATTCTTTGCTTCTCAAGTAATAAATGAAATTAATGTAAGTAAAAAATATTAAATAGCTCATTGATTTTTGGACCTTCTAGGCATTTGACACTAAGAATTAAGAGATCAGTGAGCTGGACATCTGGACTTTGTAGCTCACAGTGCATTTCTTCCTTTCTTTGGAAAAAAAGAAAAGAAAAAGAAATTTGATTTTCTAGGTAATTGCTATGTAGTATTTGTATGAATGAATTTTGTGAATAAAATTTGAATGCCAAAAGAATTATTTTCACTGTTGATGCCTGAAATCTTACAGTTGAGCAGTAGAATATTTGCTCATCTGGAATAAACCAATCTTGAATTCTAGTTAGCTTCCTGACATATATTTACATGTAATTTTGAGAAAACTCTGTAGCTTGCTCTTGCTAGATGAACTTTCTCCTCTCATAATCATTTAACAATGAGATGATGAAATTGCTATCAGAAGGGATTCCAAACCCTGCACATCTGTGTCAGTGGAAACATTCTGATTGTTTCTTGCCTGTTAGAGTCACCATACTGAAAGTCACACTGCAGGCTGTTGTTTTATGCTTGAAAAATCCACATTTTCCTGAATAGATCAGGAAAACCTCTTCTTCTCTAATAACTTTTGCCTGTGGCTCCTCCAACCAAGTCTTCAATTTCAAGTAAGACAGTAAAGAGGATTAACAGAGACAACTAGGCTTTATGGTTTGGAAACTTTGCTACAACCACCCGAATAGCAAACGTTTGGGTAACTGTTACTGAGAGAGTGACATATAATGGAGGGAGCAGGATATAGACAGAGAAAACAAAGTGTGGGGTATAGGGAAGTCAGGGACAAATACATTTTTGGATAAATCTGATGGAAGAGCAGAAGAAACTGAAGTCTTCTCACAGAGCAAGAAAAATAAAGTATCTGAGTGAGAGAATTAGTAATTTGAATATTGGTCTGGAATTTTAGCAGCTACATGAAGTTGGGCAAGGTATTTAACCACTTTGTGCTCTAGTTTTAATCAAATGTAAACAGTGTATAGGCTCGGGTGCACCATAGGATGTTCTGTAAATATAAGCCATTGGTTTTTTGACTAACATTGGCATAGGATGACATTATAAGACAAGAAGGTGTTTACTTATTGGAAATGAGGAAACAAGGTCTCAGATATACTAATAAATAATAAATGTTAATAATTTTTATAAAAGTGGATATATTAGGAAATTAGAAGTTGAACTGATGACTGTTCATAATTGCAGGCATTTTTCCAGTTTTAATGTGTGTGGTAACTCAGTTATTGCAATTATTTTGAAGCTCCAGAAAATCTTCAAGAGCATTTACTTTCTAGAATTCATTTACCCAAGGAATAAATGTAGCAATGGTAGCATGCTGCTATTTATTTGCCGTTCCAGGAGATCATTGTTTAGTCTTGAAGCAAGAGATGGAAATAGATTAAAGCTGTGGTCTGGGTGAAAATTTTCATATAGTTGACTTTTATGATAGACTAGGGCAGCTACACTCATGTGATAATGTAGCTTCTCCTTAAATATTGCAGAAAAAGATTCAGTTAGATCATAAAACCTCTAATCATGGAGGTAATATTCAGGAAAAATGGCTAGAGTGTAAATTAGGACCATTTGTCATGGGGATTATAATTTGACTTTAAAACCAGAGATGTGTGCTCTGAGTCCCCAGACCTTACTGATCTCTCATGTGCTCAGGAAGCCAGCCAGGCCTTATGCCTTCAGCATGACCAGACACATCTCTGCAACTTCCCTTCCCTTTAGATATAGATGCTCAAAGATCTCCCTCAAGTGTACTGAGCTATCCTTTCTTCCTCTAGGAAGGCTTCTACCTGTGCTCTGGTTTCATACTTCATTGGGGAGAACTTGATCCCCATGTGGCCCTTTTCTGCTGTGGCGATCACAGAGCCCACATTTCTGTATCTTTATTTATGGTACCAGATTTTTATTTGTCTTTTGCTTTCTTTCTTTGCTTTTTGATAAGAGTTTCTAGAGAGTAAGTTCAGGCCACAGAAGGCTTAGAGCAGTCATTACAGTCACCCCTCTTTGATGTGGATGTCTGTTCTCTGAGCTGGTTTGAACTCTCCCTTGCTTTGAGGTAATTTTCCTTTAGGAAACTTTTGTTTTCTCCCCTAGAAATCAAAATAAACAAAGCCTTTCTGGAAGTTCTCCTCCAGAAAATATTTTATATTAGAACGTAAAAATTCTAAGATGAACTATTGGGCCATTTCCAATTAGTTAATTACTAATTAATTCCAACTAATAGTTAATATGGTACTTTATGGTATTTTTAATAATAAAGTGGAGGTATTTAACAAAAAGCTTTTAGTATAGATTCAATCATAGTTCAGGGGGACTGATTCTTTAGAAGATGTTCAACACTCAAGATACAGAGGTGGGATTTTCAAGAGAGAGTTGGCTAAATGGGCCTTTTCCTAATGACACACTTAACAATAATTTCACACCAAATAAGGGTGACAAGTCTCTTTCTAAAATAGGTTGTTCTCTATTTTAGTGAACATATTCCAGCATCAAAAGTGTTATTCCAAATAATGTATCATGGAATCTACATAAGAGAAAGAGAAAAGAGATGAAATCTGGAGCCACAAAACAATGGAAGACTCTCCTGTTTAGAAAGCTTAACAGGTAAGTTGAATCTCAATTCCAAGTTGCTTTTTTTCCTTTTGTTTTGGATGGTTCTGTTTTCTACTAGTCATGTAACTGATAAATGCGTATCTACTGTCTCCTCAATGATAGTGTAAATCATGAGGTGTCTGTGACAAAAAAAGCAATGGGCATGTCTCCAAATTTCAATGGGAACAATGCTATTTTTCTTTGAAACCATTACTTTCTTATCTTGCAGATGCATTCCCATTAAGGAGCCGTTTGCATTTAATTCAAATCCATCAGCTTGTGATGCTGCTACATGCTATGCTAAGTGATGAGAAGACTGATTATTGAAAGGAATATCTATGTCTTTGGTGTCAGATTGTGCTGTTTCCTTGCAGAGTGGACTTCATATTCACTGCTTCAGCTTGTAGAAAGTAGATGATTAAAGTTTGTGAAGAAATCATTGAGAAGGTTACATTCCAATCAAAGCTGTGAGCTTGCTTGTTTTCTAATTGCCGCACTTTCACATTAAAGCTGGGCTCTTGTGGGTGGCATATTTTTCACAGCAGCCTCAATTTGTCTCCAGAATGGATAGGGCCAGAGGGCCTTACTTTACCAGACCATCATACTGCACTAGAGCTAGGCTACTTAACAAAATTAATGAAATGAGTATTATGGTTTGTTTGTGTTTCCTTGAGATATTTATCTAGATAACAAGTCATGCTTCCTTACACTGATTTCATATTCTGTGTATCTTGGGTTTCAGATAAAGATTAATTCTTTCTTGCCTCTCTCTGCCCATCCTGGTAGCCACCTACTCTTATTCCTTCTTACAAGAGGGCAATAAGTGAGTCTCTGAGTGGTATTCAGGCTTGCCACTGAACATTTTCCAGCTCCTAACCAAGGGCCATTTCATCTACAACTTGTAAATAATTGTTTAATGCCAAACCCATGGTAAATTTTGTAAAGATGTTCCTCTGTAAAATTGTACAAGAATATTCATTATTAATATGAAATTAGATAAATACTGTAATGTGGACAAGGATCTCATTCTTCAATCTGGTCCAGGACTTGGAATAAGTAGACCATCGTTTCTAGTTAAGACATTTAGACCACTACCATATAGTTATAAAAACCATGATTCTTGAAAGTTTCCATATGTTCACATAGAAACTATGCGAGCTATTGTCCTTGGACAGCTGCAACTTTGGCTTTGATGAATCCAAGTCTAGATTTCTATCTCAGAATTCTACCACCTAATAAGAACTTGGCATGTGTTTGCATTCAGGCTGCCAGAGGAAAGCCAATGGCTTCTGTTCTGCTGAGTTCTATTGTCAGTGATGTGCCCTAATCATCCTTCCCTCCTCATCCTGATGTCTACAACTAGACTCAAAAATCCCACTTGATGGGTAGTTTGCTTAATTGACAAGGTAGCATGTGCTCTTGCCATATGCAACCCTGCCAACTCTATGTGTTTTTTTGGAGTCAACACAAAAGGACAGTTTTTTTTTTTGTTTTGTTTTAGAAGATAAAAGCATCCTCCAGAGCACTTGGTATTTCACAGGATGTGCAGACTTAGTGTATACAATTGGAGCAGAATCTGAAGTGGTGCTACTTTCTCAGTTTCTCCTCACGATATGACACAACTGTAAAATTTTACCACCTACACATCCATCACAATCTCTTCCCCCAACACTTTGCAAGAAACAATGAGACAAGCTGAAGGACAGCCACAATTTTAGCTTCCTTTCTGTCTGATTAAGGAAGATAAGTCCATACTTGACACAGCAAGATTTGAAAAGGGGTAGGTGGAAGAGTAGGCTGGGATAGTCAAAACCAAGCTACTTTTCAAGTGATATTTTTATGTCTAGTTTTCACCTTCTTTTCATTTTATTATATTTGCTTTTTAAATGTAGATTTTTATATCCAGTATTCACATCTTGTACTAGTTTCGAAGTTTATTGTTTATAGTGTAATTAAGATCGACATAATCAAGTCCACCCTAGGTCATTGTAAATTATGCAATTTTTATTGTACTTGATGCAGTGGATAAAATTATTTGCATAAGCATTTTTTTTTGCTTTACACTTACTACATATACAACTAAAAGAGCAAAGCAATGCTACCTGTTTATGTGGATTATATGAAAAGCAACCAAGATGATCCATATAAAATTATGTCAGACACATAGTGAACATTTAATAAATAGCTGTAATAATATTATTAGTAATTATTTATTTTGCAGTTGGAGGAGGATTAAGGTAATTAATCAAATTTAATTGGCTTTTAGCAATCAGTGTGACTAGGAATGCAATGGATTTTTTGTGCTTTGTTTTTCAGAACTATGGATTTAACCCAGTGCCTTGTGCGAGTATTCTACCATTGAGCTATATCTTCAAGACCTCTAGAGAATACTGTCAATTTAATGGATGTTTTACTCTGTAATTTTAATACTATCTCAAAACTTATGTGATGATACCAGGATGTATATATATATATATATATATATATATATATATATATATATATATATATATATATATCTCGGACAGGGACAGTTTTGTTGCAGTGTTGAGTTTCTGTCTTGATTCAGGTCTTGACTCAGGAGGGAGAGGAGGTCCATTGAGTCCTGGCATCATATTGACAGAAGGCCTCAATTTTCTCCTTTTAGCACTATGCCTTAATAAGGTTTATAAAAAGCCCAAAATTCCTTGACACGTTGTTTTCTCCATCATAGTACTTTACATACAAAGCACCAGAGTGCCAGGGATATGGAAATGAGGGAGATGTAGGGCAGCCCCGAAAACCCATTACAGTAGATGTAGAAACAAGGGGTTTAAATGATTCTAAGGATGGAATTAGAGCTAGAAAATCTGGAATTATGGAATAGTAAATATTACAAGATTTAGCCCAAAATTAGTGGGTATCCTTTTCCTGGAGTTTATTTTATATTTTTACTTATTCTCTGAGAATTTGAAGTACATATACAATATATTTTCAATATCTCAACTTCCCATACACTCCAACTTCTCCTAGATCTCTCAGCTATACCCCGTTCCAAATTCATGCCCCCTTTGCAAAGCCCTCTGAGTCTAGTTAGTGCTGTCCTTGCATGCTTGGGTATAAGGTCACACACTGTTTCATGGGCATCCTAATAAGGGCCAATTCCTGAATGAAGACTAACTTTCCCTAAGCAGCAGCTTCCAGCTAACCAAAGCTGACTAAGATCAGGCTTAGTGAGCCTCGTCTCCATGGATGCTGGATTCCTAACTGGCTTAGTTTTTTATAGGTCTTGTACAGATAATCACAGCCATCAGGAGGTCACAAATGCAATGGCCCTGCCATGTCCAGAAGACTATTCCATAGCAACCTTCCTTAACCTGTGGCTCTTACAACCTTTCCATCCCCTGTTTGACAATGTTTCCTGAGCAATGTGGGGAGGGGGTGTGGTGTGGATGGCTCATTAAGACTGAGCACCCCAGCCAGGCGGTGGTGGCCCACGCCTTTAATCCCAGCACTCGGGAGGCAGAGGCAGGCGTGTCTTTGTGAGTTCGGGCCAACTTGGTCTACAGAACAAGATCCAGGAAAGGCGCAAAGCTACATAGAGAAACCCTGTCTTGAAAAACCTAAATAAATAAGTAAATAAGTAAATAAATAAATAAATAAATAAGTAAATAAATAAATAAAAAGACTGAGCACTGCATAGTGCCTCATTCTGTGTACTCTGACCAGCTGTAGATCTTTATTAACTGCTGTCTGCTGCAATAGAAACTTCTCTAAGAGGGTTTGAGGGCTGTCACTAATCTATAGGTTTAAAGTACTTGGAAGGCCATTTGATACTAAATCAATACAATATCGAGCTTTCATTGGGGTTTAAAGTTATTAAACTAAAAATTTAACCTTCTGCTGCATATGCCTTGTTAAAATATGCTGCTATGTAGCAAATATATAGGAGAAAAATGTAAAAATATCAAAATGATGGATTCAAAGTTGAGATGTAGAATAGTGTAAGTTATTTCCACTTGCAAAACAAAGAACCCATTACATGCCTTATGTATTGCTAGACAGTATGCATGAATAGCAGTGAAATTTATGCTGATTTCAATACTTGTAAATTTTCCTTAGTCATACATTAAACCAAATGTGAAATGTGTACTCAAGTATTTGACTACGACCAACCTTTAATAGACATTAAAAAAACAACAACAGGAAAACCATCTTTTTTATGGTGGGCATAAAATGCAAATTAAAATCAAAGGCGAAACAGAATGTTGCAAGCTGTTGAAAGTGAATATATTTATTCAAAAATATTTGTTCCTTATTTCTGATAAATTTTGTATAAGCATCAATGAAGAGCAAATATTTCTATTATCTCAATTTGAGTTAATATAGTCATATTTAAATGTTGAATGGATAAATTTATTCCTAGCAAGTATGTTTATATTCAACTCTAGTTTATTAATATGAGATTACAACAAAGAAAAATTGCTTAAAATTGAATTTTTAATTGTCCTAATCTCACAGTGATTCACATTGTTAATGTAGAAGAAAAATTGATGTATAAAACCTAATTTTAAAAGAAATTTATTGCAAAAATTCCTTGAAAAATTACATGTATTTATATACGTATGTATGCATCTGTTACATACATATATGCATATATAGAGAGGGGAGGAAAGGAGGGAGGGAGAAAGGAGAGAGAGACTTTTTTAGCAATTTTTAAGAATGTGAAATATTACAAATTTCTTACATACTTTGTAATAAAACTATTGAAATTATTCTCTCTAATATTTTATATTCTTTACAGCTATCTCTCCAAGCCTCCTATCCTCTAACCTTGGGTACCCACAATTCTACTTTCTGCTTTTATGAGTCCAACTTTTTACTTGAGCAGATAAGAAATCACCTGACATTTATCTTTCTGTACATAGCTTATTTCAGCTATGGAATATTTTTCAGGTTCACCCATCTGTCACAAATTATATGATTTCTCTTTAATATACATACACATATGTATCATAGTATGTATGATCTTTCTTTGCTAGACACTCAAGTTTGAGTCTATAACTTGGTTAATGTAAATAACACTGCAGTGAAGACGGGCATTCAGGTGTCTCACTGATAGTGATATAATTGTTTTTGGATATATACTCAAGAGTGAGATAGTTAGATCACAAGGTAATTATATTTTTAATTTTTTTAGGAAACTATACACGGATTTGCATAATAGCTGTGCTAATTTTCATTCTCTCCATTACTGTGCAGGATTTCGACTTGTCAGCACTTGCTATCTTTCATGATTTGATAGCCACCACCCTTAAAAACCAATATTTGTTAAGTTCATAATAGAAACAGAACTTGTTTCTAACTTTTATCTGTGTTAATTCATTTAATTTCTGTAAGAACTCTAAGAAGTCCATTCTATTACTATTGTTTTTCTTTAAGAAGTTTTTAATTC